TCGTCCCCTTCTCCTTTTGCCTTCACACTTTCCCAGCATCAGGGTCTTTTCCAAGGAGTCCTCTCTTCTCATGAGATGGCCAAATTATTAGAGCCTCAGTTTCTGGATCTGCCCTTCCATTGAGCACTCAGGGTTGATTTCCTTTAGAATGGATAGGTTTGTTCTCCTTGCAGTCCAGGAGACTCTCAAGAGCCTCCTCCAGCACCACAGTTCAAAGGCATCAATTCTTCGGCGGTCTGCTTTCTTTATGGTCCAGCTCTTACTTCCATACATCACAAATGGAAAAACCATAGCTTTGACTATTCGGACTTTCGTTGGCAAGGTGATGTCTCTGCTTTTTAGGATGCTGTCAAGGTTTGTCATTGCTTTCCTCCCAAGAAGCAGGCGTCTTTTAATTTCGTGGCTGCTGTCACCATCTGCAGTGATCATGGAGCCCAAGAAAGTAAAATCTGTCACTGCCTCCATGTCTTCCCCTTCTATTTGCCAGGAGGTGATGGGATCAGTTTCTCATCAGATATGTATATTGCTGTGCTTTACCTTTCCAGAAGTTTTTATAATGAAATAATTAGGCTGTTGCCTCCAGAATCTCATTAGCACTATACAGACACAGCATTTAAGAGAATTAATTGAGCATTTTATTCTGTAGCAAGCAGATGAACTTCTAGCCATTTCACTAAGTTTTCAGACCTGACTTTCCGTAGTCTGTAGATTGCAAGGACTCTAATGCCATCCCTACCATTAGACCATTTGGGTTAGAGACCTGATGAGTTAGCATGTCAAGGAACCCTTAATGGTTAAAGAGAAACTGCCCAGATTACAACAAAGGGACCAATGATGGTTCATAAGAGAAAATGTTGTTAATGATGAATTGCTTTAAATTATCTATTATTTATTTATATGGTTCATAAGAGAAAATGTTGTTAATGATGAATTGACTGCTTTAAATTAGTTGAATCCCTGCCTCTGCATCTATGTGTAAAGGAAATTCACACATTGCATTTCAACAAATTGAAATCTGTACATTATTTCTAAGAGTGGGACTTGAGCTGTTCTTGCCTAGCCTTTTAGCTGTTTGTTGGAACTTCCCAAATATGAAGTGGGTGTTATGATGTAATCTCCATGTGAGCAGGCTTGGTCTGGTTGACTATTGAAGTGCAGCAGTAGAGCCCAGATGACATCAAGCTGATGAAACATTGCTTTCTTATATTTTTAGGTAAATTACTGGAATTCTAATGTCAATGAAGTTCAGGGGGTCATCATGGATCAAGAAGGGAAAGTGGTGCATCGTCTGTTTGGAAAGTGGCACGAAGGACTGTATTGTGGAGTTGGACCTTCAGCAAAATGTATATGGAGACCAGGTAAAAATACATGTTGGCAATACAGCTAAGTGATTTGTGGGGAGAGAACTGTGGTGGGTACAGTACTGTACACAGATATGACTAGATCAGAGAGGTAGACTTCGTTTAAAACTAGATGGGGAGCTATCCTTAGTGTCTTCTCTCTCATTGTCATCCTGGGATAGTTCTTGCCATTTTCTCAAATTTGGATCATCTCAGAACTCAGCTTCTTCAGATACCTCTCTATCTTCTTCATCTGGTAAGAAAGAAGGCTCTTCTGTTCTCTGATCTGTATACCAAGTCCCTGTGTTCCACGCTGGAAGCAGAGAGAACTATTGCAAAATGGCAACCAGTATGTATGCAGTAGACGTTGGGAGGAGACAGCTGTAATGTTTTAAGAGAATAGCCCTGTTGTTCCAGGTATATTTCCCTATATTGGGCAGAAAACAACTATGTGAGTTTTTTGTAGCATTCATTTTAGTATCCCTTTCATGGTGGGGGTGTGGAAAAGGGTATGAAAAATCACGGAAGGGCACTGCTCTCAGAGGAGATCATACTAGACCAATGGCAGTTTCCTATGCAGCCCCCCCTCCACCAGCTGGTTGTTTATTGTTATTTGTGACAGACGGGCAACTTGGTGGCCTGTCTTCTAAACCAGTGGTCCTTGCATGACTGAGAACCCTCCCAAGGTTCTGGACATCAGCTCCCAGAAACCCTGACGGTTGCCTATGAGAGCAGCAGCGTAAAATGTCCAAAGGGCTCAAAGGTTGAGAACCTCATTTTAAGCCTTACATTTTTCTGTTGGGCACTAATGCCAGCAGTTTCTGTAGGATGATTTAGTATGTTCCTGATATGAAGTGTGATTATCTATTCATTGGTCGCTTTTTCCTTGCATTGCACGGTTTCTCCACTAGTATCACTTTGTCCCTGGAATAGTCAGTGCTGATGTAACATGTTGTGAACAGGGAGAAACATTGGTATGATCCTTGGGCACTCCGTCTAACGGCAGCAGTATGTGTAATAACAGAGCTTGGAACGTTACCTTCTTGAACTACAAGTCCCAGGGTTTCCCAGTGGGATTCTCACAGTTGTATCCGAAAAAGGTAGCTTTGCCAAGGTTTAGTGTAAGTCTCCCTTTCCATCGCCTGCTCAATAACCCTGATAGAGCAGCCTTAATCAATGCCACAAGCAGAGGCTTAGAGTTGCAAGAACCAACTGTTCTGGCCAACTTTTGACACTACATTCTTAACTTGAACTTTCATTATATGTAGTCACATTAAACTGCAAGCAAACATTGAGTCTCCAATGAGGAAGACTAAGTTAGGAGATTAAGATTTAGCAAGAGTCTATAAATTATTCTAATTAGTAGCTCAAATGAAATAAAATAAAAAGTAAACTAGAGAAAACAAATTTCAGAGGTTGAGAGGAGGAAAAAAACTCCTCTATAATATTAAGGCTTTTGGTTTTCCTAGAAGAATACTATATTATATATACATAAAGAGAGAGAGAAAGAACCAAGAACAAAATTTCTTTTTTATGCTGTTGCCCAGTTGCCTTACATGCTTGTATATGTTGCCTTATATGTTTATATATATATATAAAATGGGAGTTCAAGGTGTAGTTTACAATGTCCTCAACCCAAGTACAACTATAAAGACAATTGTGTTCTGATGGAATTATACCTGAGTATTCCCCTTCCAAAGACGTGGATGACGTCGCCTGAAATTTACGTTTGGCGAAAGCCCTATAGATGTACAAGGGAGGTCGGAGGCTGGAAGTAATTGGCCCTTGAATGGTTCTTTGTTATCTCAACAAACCAAGATGAGAAATGAGAGTCATTAATAATCCTCTCTATCTCCACCAGCATCCTCCAAGCAGGATAACATCCATATGCTAACAAGTTCTCCATTGACAGGCTATAATTCTTTGCGAGATCTTGACAAGGCTCATGCCCAACTTCCAAATCTCAATTGCTCAAGGCAGCATTGACTAACAAATCCATCAGCCACTCCATTCAGCTTCAGCCAGTATCTGATCAATGCAAGCAGTGACAAGGGTAACATTAGTTCGACCCTCAGGAAGGCAGCTGGTGTACAGGGAGAGTGAGGAACCTGAGCATGTTTCTTATATGCTTATTCCAAAGAATCATAGGTTGGTTATTTCTTTTACACCAGGGTTTCCTGTCCCGTGTAACACAACTTTCCACATCAGCTGCAATGATTTGAAGTACAGGTTGAACTAACTGGGTGGCTCTTGAATAGAAAATACCTTCCCCTGGATTGTGATTTTACAACTTGACAATTTAATGCCAGCTAGATATTTTCCCCATGAGAGATTTACATAAAAACACGACCCTAATTATTTATCTAAAACAACCTGTTCAAACTGATGTGTATACAGAGCCCATTTGTATTTTTGGAGGCTGGTCTCAAACACCATGACGTTCAATTTAAAGTACGGTAGTTGACAGATGACATTTCCTTAGTCTCACCTCTTTAGGCGGAACCCATATTCCATAGGGGTTACATTAGCATAAAATAAAACTGTAACTGTGCAGTCCCACAATTGAGAATGTGAATGAAGTTGGGGAAGACAGCTTTGTAGTGATAGCATGGAGGTAGAAGTTGAAAAAGCAGGCTAGGATAGAGTCCTTTTTAACAACCCTGTCTGGACACAAAGTCTGATGAATGTGTTGTGTTTCTCTGGCTGATAGATACCAGCACTATCAG